AGCAAGCAAGAAATTTTACGACAAATGTTCCGAAAATTCTAGATCTCAAATCGTCTTCCGAACAGATATTTTCCGAAAATTGTCGCTGGGTGCCCCTGGGCTGTGTGTCAGCGGTAAATTTAATCGTTGAGAAGGCTTCGGCAAAATTCTGGTCTCTGTGTAGGAAAGTACTTAGCCCACCCCCCACAGTTGTTTACATTTTTAAGTCACGTGATATTATTGCACGATAAGCGAGAAGTTTTTTTTAGGTCCGGTTCAGACGCCGCTCCACTCATGTGCCGAACCTAACTGATGAATTAAGTACGGCAAAAGAGCGGCGTCTGAATCAATTTGGTACGGCAGTTTTAGTATGGTGCGGCGAAAGCGTTAAGTTCGACAGAGTCTGTCGAACTGTTGTCGAGCTTAACTTAGGTTCGACACACGGTACGCCGTCTGAATCAGATGTCGCGCCAGTGTCGCTCCAAAGTCGAACTTATTCAGTTAGGTTCGGCACATGAAAAGTACGGCGTCTGAACCAGGCCTTAGAAGTTGTACGCACCAGGCTGGAAGGATTAAAACAGCTGAACGAGTCTTTTTTAGCCGTCCTCAAGTAATAGAATAGTGAGTTTAAACAACAGGACGGCAGGAAGAAAAGGACGGCAAATCGCTTGTGCGTGACGAACGTGAAAGGGCTATAACTTGCGTGTTTTGTCGTGATATTCACTAACACCAACGTTTTCTGGACTTTTGCAAAAAGATCTGTTTAAAGAAAAGTTAAGTTTGGCGAAAAGTTACTTCAAACAAAATTATTGTCACGCTTTTCACACAAGGTTTGCCTTCTTCTCCTGTTGTGTTTAGCCGTAAGTTCACTAATATTCAAGGAACAGGACTTTTTGCGTCTTTCCCGCGGAAAATGTCCGGTGACAACGGAACATCTGACAAGGTAGTCCTGTTTTTTCCGGACGGAATGTTCCAAACGGAAATTCGTGTTCCATTCTTCAAAGCCATCTTTGACACCAGTCTCACGCCTTCGCAGCCGTTTCTCAATCGGTATGAAACTGATTTGGACAAATGGTAAACGCGATTCCACTACGAAATTAATCAGTCCAGAATTTGTCCAAACCATGTAAATAGTAAACAACCTCTGTATCTACTCAATAGCTAGGACGAGCTCAGAAGAAAACGCGTTTATTCCATATGACTCTTTGGTAGTCATGATTGATATTTGCAATTGTTTTATCTTAAGACTAAGACTAACCTGCGAAAACATCCGTTTCTCCTCGCTCTTCGCCGCTGGCGACGTTTTGCGCGGAGGAACGTCTGCGACTCAGCGACACATACTGATGACGCAAATCAATGTTTACATAATAAATCCGGTAGTCATGGGATTCCAAATATAAATTTGTCTAATTTTACGTGTTTTGTGGTCGATTTTGGTAAAGTGTTTTGCTTATCTGCGAACGAGCTCTAGCAAAACTCAAATGCGTCTTCTAGAGAAGACTATATTCCACAAATATTGTCTGTTTTGTTAGAGATTCTTCGCGTTTATATTTGACCTTTGTGGCCTTTTGTCTTTTGTCTGTCATTTGTAAACAATAGCTTAAACAATGAAACTACTTTGTCGACCAATCAGCGCTTCTGACCGGATTCCGGACAGATTTTACGTCATCAGTATGGAATTTCTGTAGCTGAGTCGCAGACGTTCCTCCGCGCGAAACGTCCCTAGCGGCGAAGAGCGAGGAGAAACGGATGTTTTCGCAGGCTAGACTAAGACAGCGTTTACAAAGATTGTTTAGCATATTACAATCCACATTAAGACGAAAATATGTTCATTCAGCCAATTTTTTTTCTCATTTTTTTTTATTTTTGAACATAAACACTATTAGAAAGAATAATCAAAAGCAAATGCATTGGAGTTTTAGCTTTTCCGATGCGGCGTTAATTCAAGGGCGTTGCCTCATGTAAGGTAATCCAGATGGCTTTTGGACTCTAGAATCAGAAAATTTTTATTGTGACCGGAAACCTGGGTTTTGGAATCCGGAATCGCACTAAAGATTGAAATCCGGAATCCTAGTTCCACTGAACAGGAATCCGAAATCCAGTACCTGGAGTCCGGAATCCACAGCGTGGAATCCAGAATCTAAGACTGTCATGGATTCCCTTACATGGGGCGAAAAATCAAATTTCTTAAATGGATCATTATAAGTTTTTGGGAAACTATCCACTTACCTACCCCTCCCCAAAGCCAACATTTTGCCCTAAGTGAAAGGTAAGCGTTAATGTTGGCTTAGGGGAGGGGTAGGTGGGCAGTTTCTCAGAGAGGTACAGTCAACTCCCCCTAAGACGGACACCTTTGGGACCGGCACTATGTGTCCGTCATAGAGAGATGTCCGTCTTCTGATAGAGAGTCAAATAAGGGGAGTAAAGAAAAGCAGGGACCAACTCTAGGTGTCCGTTTTACAGAGGTGTCCGTCTTATAGAGGTGTCCGTTAAGAGAGAGTTGACTGTATAATGTTCCTCTTAAATCACTGACGGCAATTACAGTGTACTAAAAATTATTTAAAACAGAAAGATGCCTAAAGTTCTGAAGTCTCGCTGCTTTGCCGAGATAGAATCGTAATTGTCTGGATGGTGCAGATCAGAAAGTTGTACTCAGCCATGTCCCCTGAGTCGAGACAAGTTCTCGCAAGCATGACAGGTGACGTGAAGCAATAATTAAATTCAAGTAGCTTTTGCAATACTGTAATACTTTGATCTAGTCATGCAAATAAAGCTCCGCGTTGTTGTTGTTATATATCTACCTTTTCAATTCTTTTAAATAGGTCATCCTAAAATGAATTGACCCATTTTTTACCTATAGTTCAAACATTCTGGTACGTTTGCTAACCGCAAAAATGAACAACTGTCTTAACTAAACATCAGAAAATGTGCGACCCCATTCTAGTAACTCTATTGAAAATGCAACCACATCCAGCGGCATATCCCCATTAGCCTCTTATAAGGAAGTTCTCCCCCCCCCCTCCCCCCGGGGGAGGTCCTTATTAGCTATGGAACTTGAGGAATTGCTTGTGAATGACAAAATCAAAGCTTCGTCTCAAACAGTTCATGAATAAAACATGACAGTGCTGCCTGCACTTGTAATCGATGGCAACCGGTTCCCTGGAAACCCATAATGCACTTTGACGTCACTACTCTGGATGACGTCAAGGCACCAACCAAGCTCGATAGATTTGTAGCAAAGAGAAAATCACGCTGTCCTTGCTATGCTCGTGGGAGACAAGCGCGCTTCGCGCGCGACGAGATTATAAACCTCGCGGCGAGGAATTAAACGTTACAAACTACAAAAATGAGCTTTGAAAAAGTGTTAGGCTAACAAGTTTTCAAAAACCACAATTGCAGCTCCTTTCAGTCAATCTTCGTCAAGTTTGTCATCTTCTCCTCATTTTGTATTTGCTGCACGGTTATCAATCCTTCTTTTCATGATTTGAGCAGTTATTCTTATTTTTCACTCAGTTTTTTGGCGGTTAATTCCCTGTTTGAATTTTGATACACAGCTCTTTTACGGGATATGCATACATCTGTTCCCCAAGTAGGGAGGGGTAGCTGACAGACAACAAGAAAAGACATCATGATAAAATACTCCCCATATTGAATCCAAGACGTTTTTAATCCAAACATTCATTCAAGTTGAAAACATAGCTTTCAATTGTCCATTCTTACTACTTACACAAAGATTCGAATATCCAAAATAAAATACTACGGTAACTGCTTTATAACAAGCCATTGAGATCAACAGAAAATCAAAAATCATAACTTACTTTACACGTTATTTTTGTACACCAATCTTCTTAAATCACAATTCATGACTCACTGTATACATTGTTTTATGAGAAAAGGCATTAAACTAAACTGTCAAATACAGTTGCGTGGCCGGAATGTGTCAATCTTCATTCTTCTAATTGATAAGGTATAGGTTGAGCGTCATTTCCGCTGGGAAATAAAACTGTCGCCGTCGCTTACTTAACCATAGTCTCCTATCAAGCCGTATTTAGTGTCGTCACGCAATCCTCCTCCCTACATGGAGGAGAGTTGCGTGACGACCAAAGAAAGGCTGCTACGGAGGCTAACGTGACCCACCAATCTTACCCAACGAGATATTGAAAACAAGTGATGTAACACGCAAAAAATCATTGGCGATGATGTATTTGTCAAAAAAAGAAATAGCGCTAGTGTTAAAAACACTCCCCCACGATTCTTATGTTACACTTCAAGAGAACTTCAAATTTTCTGCGCACCAGTCAAAACTCGGAGCATCACGGGATGAGTGACGTCAACAACTGTGCCGTTAAAGTAATTTTACTGCACGTTCACGGTATGTGATCCTTGCATGGATGATCTCTTTAGCACTGCCTCTTCAACAGATTCTTCCTGAGGAAGCCTGAGGTTGTTTGCTAGAGCACGTGGGCCATGTGGGCCACGCTGTCGTTTCCTGTTTCCGGGACCAAATTCGACATCAGAAGCAGCGTCACGAATAACGGGTGGAGTTGAGCTTGGGCGACTTGTTGGCGGCTGTGTGGTTGGTGCTACGCCACCTCCTGTAAAAAACAATAACGCAGATCAGTTACTAGGATTATTCTTCAATGACATCTTGAAATGCCTTTCTAGTCAATTTTTATCCGGTTCCAATGCAAAATGAAGAAAGTTTCTTCATCTTGGAACCAGCCATTTGTCACACAGTTGTACTCTGTCCTCGGTTTAACAATTTGTCGTCCTCTTAAATATTCAGTGTTTTTCTAATTATCAAAACGGGCACCTTCTCAGTATCAATGCCATACTTGATGTCTTTTACAATTTTCAGAAGCCAGAAGTATCAAAGTAAGTTTACCGGGCAATCAAGGCCTTTCTGTCTTTTCTGTTTTGGTATTGAGCCTCAATGGGCTCAACTGACAGGTGTTTATCCAAAACTACAAATATCCCAAAGCCCATGGCCTTTAGTTCTTTGTTCTTATCTTGTACGGCATTGACCGGGCCACAAGCCAAAGCTCAAGAACGGCTACAACTACACAAATCTGATTAAACGAACAAACCACACCAAACGATCCAAGTTAATTACCTTACAACGTCCAAGATAACATTACATTTTTAACTCAAATTACTCGTATTGACAATAATTTGATTTATGATAATGACAGCTAACAATGGCACGTATATTTTTAACCTTACTGCTTCAAACTAATTAAGTTTCCTTTATCTTTACATGTTTAAGTACCGTAATGAATTATAATCAAATAAAAATTGAACTAGGCAAATAGATTGAACGATGCAACAAGTAAATATGAGAGAGAAGCCTTTAGCACGTTAGATAAGAAAAATAAAAAGAAGTAAACGTCAATAATAACCTTTACACGTAGCTCATATTTATTCTTAGTATTTTTAAATCCAAATAACTCTTTGGAAGTATTTCCCACAGGCTGAGTTCGTTATCAAACGTAGCCTTTTCAAAATAGTACTCAGGAAAATTAATGCACGCCTTACACTTGAATTGGTTGTTGATTATCTTTATCATGCTTACGTGTTTTTTTACTTATTTAATTGACGTGTCCATTTAGTTCGTTATCAACTTATCAAGCCATTGCTTTTCCTTTGAATTGATCAGTAACTGAACTCACATTGTGGGGGCTCCTCGTAAAATATTCTACAATTGGTATAGGATTTAATAGAGCCTAGACTATTTTTTGTGCAAAACAAAACATTTCAGGCATCCTACTGATGAACAGTTACGACTTATAGATATTTCCAGCAACAACTTTTTGCCGTTTGTCTTCTTCTAATTGAACTAATACAAGTATAAACAGATACTGGTAAACATGTGTCCAACAGTGCATCAATCATGTGTAACACTAATACATTCTTGCATGCTAGCAGTTTTGTCGGCGAATCTATTTGGAATCCTTCAATGAATATATATTATACCGCGTTTTTCCAACAATATACGAAGTCATCCACCCAACAGCGCTTTAATGCAGAGAAGTTTGAAGACACAGAAGAAAACTGAACATTTAGTGGAAGAGAATATTTGACTGGCATCATCAAAATCATTGGTTTTGTGTATTGCCTTCGTGAAATTTCTTTGAAAAGATATTAAGTCAGTCTTTGACAGTCTTGTCAGTCTAAACTTGTGATTCCTTGGAAGGAACTTCTAGTTCGTTCCTTGATCTCCGCCAAGAAAGTTAACAAATCTACAAGCTCTTTTTGCACAATTCTAGTACTAAATAGTTTTCGATGATGAAATAAGTGAAGGTGTCTCGTCTTAACCCTGATTACGGCACTTTCACAGTTATAGAGGATTTCTTTAACACGGCTTCATTAAATCGTCTCTTCAGCGACTTGACGAAGCCACTCTTCCCTTCAAAATTGTGTAACTTTCTAACAAATGGGCCCACGTTTGTAGGGCCAGGCGGTTTTGTCGGTGTGACTGTGGGCTTAGTAGCGGGTTTTGTGGCAGTTGTTTTGGCCGAAGTCGGGCCAGACGGCTTTGTCGGTGTGACTGAGGGCTTAGTGGCGGGTTTTGTGGCAGTTGTTTTGGCCGAAGTCGGGCCAGACGGTTTTGTCGGTGTGACTGAAGGGTTAGTGGCAGGTGTTGTAGAAGACGGTTTGGCTGACGTCGAGCCAGGCGGTTTGGTGGTCGGTGTCGTTGGATGTACGGCACCACCTATGAATGAATGAATGAATGAATGAATGAATCAATGAATCAATGAATGAATGAATGAATGAATGAACGAACGAACGAACGAACGAACGAACGAATGAATGAATGAATGAATGAATGAATGAATGAATGAATGAATGAATGAATGAATGAATGAATGGTGATGGATGGATGGATGGATGGATGGATGGATGGATGGATGGATGGATGGATGGATGGATGGATGGATGGATGGATGGATGGATGGATGGATGGATGGATGGATGGATGGATGGATGGATGGATGGATGGATGGATGGATGGATGGATGGATGGATGGATGGATGGATGGATGGATGGGTGGATGGATGGATGGATGGATGGATGGATGGATGGATGGATGGATGGATGGATGGATGGGTCGATGGATGGATGGCCGGATGGGTAGATACTGCTATATGAATGTGGATCAACCAATCACTTCTCTCCTCCGTAATGTCCATCAATCATCAAGTCCACGATAGTGATGCCATCACTTTTCGGATTGGGGCTCTTTTTCTTGGCTTCGGTAGTTAAATGAAGCAAATAGCTTAAAAAAGTAACTGTTTATTGTTTTTAGTTAACGTTTATAACATCCTTGCTTTACTTCAAGACGAAAGTATTAGGTAATTACCAGATCTCTTTTTGCAGTCATGATGATTCCCTATCTTCTTCTTTGTCCCCATTACCAACTTGGTATCCCAAATTAAGATTAAAACTGTTATTAACTATTCCTCATTGCAAATTTAATTTAGTAAGTTATCCAGTCTAGCCATATGGTTTACATTACAAGTCATTTATTTATTCACCTTTTTATATATTTCATTAGTTAGATGAGTTAGTTTTCAATTATCTTGTAAGGAGTTGTCTAGAGAATTACGTCCTAAAAGGCACGTTTTGTATCATTTATCTACGACCTCCTGATTTTAAAAAAGTGTCCAAAAGTGGATTTCAAGAGAATGAAATCGAAATCATCAAGATTACCAATAATCGTTTTTTGTCATTCGTTGATTTTTCTTTTAATTTGCCACTGATTGGTTCACTTCATTCATAAGCAGTTTTTACTTAACGACAGGAGCTTATTAGTCTCCCTCGAGTTATACGTGAGAGTCGGCATTCTTAGAACAGTTTATGTCACTGTGTTAGTTCTTAGCATTCCCAGAATAAATCATGCACACTTAAGCTTTCTGCCATAATTAAATTATTACGGATTACACTTCTCAATGTGATAGACCTATTTCGGAACAATTCTGGTATTAAAAACCTTCGAAAAAGTGTTAAATTTAAGTCCAAATCGCTGTTCATTGGCAGAAATAGATACCTTTCGACTGAAACAGTGTATACATAACAATCTTTAAAGTAAGTTTAGAGCTAATGAGAAATAGGCAACTCAATTTTATATTAGACGATGACGTAGTGTTGTCTGTTTTGGGTAGACAAATCTAAGGCTTTGAACTTGATTTTATACCTACCATTTAAGGGATTGCTTTATAAAGATAACAAAATTAATCACTCAACAAAGTACCTCCTGGAAGACACATTTTTGCAAGAGTTTCGATTTCAGCCTTGGTCAGAGCATAGTTGTAGATTCTGAACTCATCGATAAATCCCATGAGAGGGCGTCCGGCCTTATGGTCACCGATTCCAGCGCGTGCCAGCCAGTCCCTAGACAAAAGGCCACCTCCAATGGTCATGTTTCGAAGCTCACCGTTGACATAAATTTTGGATTTACCAGTTGCAGAATCATACGTGCCAGCAATATGAGTCCATTTATCTGGGAAAAAAAAGAGATAGATATAGAATGTTTCTTACTATTGTGTTTTAGGACCTCGTCACTAAGTCGCACTCTGAGGCACATTGTAATGCTAAAATGAAGCATGTCATTTCGTCACTGTTTACTTTGTAGCTCTAGTAGGATTATAAGCTGCTTTCCAAATAATTCTTTGCATTTTCACTTGCTCGTTGGGGATCTTGTCACATAAAAGAGCCGCGTGGCTAGCCTTAGAAATGAGGCCGACAAGGGCGAGCAGGAGCGCTTGAGGATTGCACGTACAAAATATGAAGAAATCGTCTTGATTGAAAAGCTTTATTGGCCAGTTTTAGCTTTTTACCCACTTAAGTTGTCTGAAGCAAATAGTTCTAGACAATTAACACACTTATTAATCTGTCTGTCAGACCATTATAACCCTGGTTTCCCATACCTTTCTGGACCTGTTTTCCCTCAGCAGTACAACTGAAGATAATATGTTGGGTCTCGTTCCTGTGGAACCAGCGTACTGAGCCATAGTTGACTTCAAAGTGGAATTGTCCGCACTGATGGCTAATACCAATAGTGTCAAACACCGATCGACTGCCCTCAATATCCTTCAAGTTGATAAATGCTGCCACTGTTACTCCTTCTCTGGGTTTGGCCTGGAAAGTATCACCATGGAAGAGGATGTCACCACAGTATGTGTAGGCAGCGTTTCCACACTTACTGTTGGGAAAGTTTACCACTATAGCACCATCCTGCATGTAGCCGTTGTTGGCGTAGCCAGAGGAATCTTCCACAACGTTTCCTTTGGTAGCGTTGAATTGAATGTGTGCTACAAGACGCTCTGGAAAAGAAAAGAGATTCCTAGTTAAAATCACCTTTACCTTTACAAATATAATTTATCAATCTCCGATGAATAACTTAATACCTTTCACCTTAATTATTCGTGGTAAATAAAAGTTCTATTAGTTTACTTAAAGGGGAACGAACATAAACTGACTTGACGCATCAAAAGACGCGCGCTGGGTTTCGCAGGCGCGCTGAATATGATGACCAAGAAAGTTGTTCGCCGCAAAAATGTGCAGCACGGCTGAACCATTCAGTTAAGCTAAGATTCATCTTTACTCGTCTTTTTTTCCGTCTTCTTTTTTTCCAGATGTAACACATATTTTTAAATTAAGATACTCCTTCTACTTCTCTACTGGGCAATGCCTCCCATTTTGCTAGGACCGGCAGAAAAATTAACGGGGAGCAGTTGTACTCACTGTCAAGAGCCATGTCAGCGGAGTCGGCACTAACAATGCTGGGAATATTCTCTTTCTTGGTCATAAACTGACCGGGCTTGGGGTGTCTGCATGAAGCAAGTGCGCCTGTGAAAATGTAAGAACCATCGTTAACCTTTCACAAACAGGCTAAGAAAACTAATATCTAAGACTGATAACAAGGACAGATCCAAAACTTGAAATACAGAAAGAGGGGCCCGGGAGACTTGCCAGCTATAGAGAAAGTAACATTTTTTTTACAACCAAGGGTTAAAACCTTTCACATTTTTATGCTTGGCAAGTATATTTTCTTGGTATTTTACGAATAATAGCTAATCGTGTTGAGACACTATAAAAAAGAATACATGCCTGTGATAAAACAGGCGACGTCAAGAGCTATTATAACGTTTTGGGAACGACTTTCAGTAAATTTCTGAAGCATGCAGACATTAACAGTATCAACATTTTCCAAGAAGTACTGGGCTCGAAGAGTCCCAAATGCGAACGTTTTGACCTAAATTAGCAATTTTTTTGTTTCCAGAGAAGTCTAACGAGACTTGTCAACTCAGTCTTTTCGAACTATTATTGCAAAAAATGAAGTCGATGTCAGATTATCAAAAAGCGAGAAATTAACTATCAAACCTTTGCTAAAAATTAGCTAGTAAACCCATGTGGCATTGATCACATTATTTTTTAGTTTGTGTAAGCCCTCTTGGACTAGCTGCCGGAGAACTATTTGTTGTAAATACTGTGTTTTTCCAGTTTTTGAGGGCTGCAGATTTAAACATGTATTTCCATTTCTGAAAGGAAGTGGCTTACTCTACCTTACGGGCAAAAACATATCATAAATGATTTTTCACAGATCGAATGCATCTTAGTTCAGTTTCTAGATATGAAAACGAAGTCAATTCAAAATAGCCACAAATTATGGCACTAAGCTAAAAATATGGTCAGCGGACTTATCAATCGGTTTTCACCAGCAAAGGTCAGGAGCCAGCATCATCACGTCACGGAGAGTGATTTGAAACAAGCAGGTACAATATTGTTTATAAAACATGAAATCACTCGCCAATGGCCCCGTTTGTGAAGTAAAAATACAATTTCTTGATTTCTAATGGTCAACTGTAAAGTTTAACACTTTGTTTAAAAACAAAAAAGGTTTTTTGGAAGGATTCGTTTGTCGGACACCATATCACCTGAATGAATTTGCCCCCGCCTTCTATAAGAATGGAAAAAACGATCAATGATATCCTATGATTAAATCAGATCCTTAAAGTACTCAAAATCGTGTTCCAGTTCGAGGTTGCCATTTATGTAGTTGTAACTACTTACTAACAGTTATAAAATGGATTTATTTATCCCTCTCTGACTATTTGCCGTTTCAATACCAAAGCCCTACGATCAGAATTTCGTACTGGCAATTACAACCATAAATTCATCGCCCTCAGTTGGTAGCCATAGCATCATTTATTAGGACACGGGTGATGTGGTGTCCGTTTACTCTTATGATGAAAAAAAGCTGAAATTCTAACCCGTTCATTTTTCTGCCGAGCAAGATTTAGAAGACAGTCACTCGTTTCGTAATATTTAATCTGAGCCCATCACTTCGAAAAGCCTTTGCCTCTGAAAGGTAATTCATTTTTCCCGAAACTCGGTGCAGATAACATGAATGGATCTAAGATAAAATTCCCTTCTCCCAAATGAATTTATAAATCGTTCATTTGTATGGAAGTAAACGGGTAAGAAAACTATTGGTAGACAATATTTCATTGAGCTTCCAGTATTTCAAGCTGTTCACACAAAAATTCGGACCACCTTATGAAGCAATTACAGAGGCCATAATTTTTAAACTGAATTTGACGATTTTGCTGAGAAGGAGTAAAACATGAAGTCGACTTTTTGTCACAAACACTTATAGAGTACGGAACAGAAACGGCGTTTTAATTTGCATATAGGATTGTCTCTCATTGATATCTCGTTTCGTTAAGAGTTTTCGAAGTTTGATGGAAAAAATTCCCGATCTAAACAAGTGCATTGTCTACATCTTCGTCTTGTCAGGAATTCCCTGCTAACATTGTTTTTTAAATAACATAGTTATAACTAGTCAATATAAAAACATTATTACTAAACGAAGGCACGACTACTTTCAGGCCAAAATCACTTGTACTTACCACTTATGGTCAGAGCTAAAACGAAGAAAATTCTCTCCATCCTTCCTGGAAAAGGAAGAAATTTTGAAGATTATAATATCAGATTCTTTTCTTTTATAAAGAGGAGCGAAAGGTAATTAATTCCCAGGAAAATATATCAAAGGAAATAAAAATGTTATGGAAGACAAAGATAAATATTGACTAACAATAAAGCCACTGGCCCTTCCTGTGAACGCTGTCTAAGCACGCTGATCGGAGGAGAGCGGATACAAGAGCTAAAACCTGCCTTCTTAGAGATGCCAAGGATGTAAGAGGCTAAGCACGATCGCAGTTACGTCAGTGGAATACACTCATTTCGGAAACTTCAGCGGTTCGCCCAAAGAACAACAAGACTTCGTTTGACAGGTAGGGACAGGTTGAATCAAATTAGTGACGCTAATTGTAGTTTAGTAAAAAACAAATACACCGATAAATTATGGGGAATATTTCAAGCTCTTCTTACCGTACAAACCTTTAAAACCCCAAAGAAATCCCCTGGGAAGTTTGCCGATCTCACCAAAATGGATGACTATTTCTGGTATCTTTATTTCACGTGCCTTATCTAGCAGTCTTAGTTAATCGATTCGCATTCCAAAGTCATGACCCGTTTCATTCGCTCACTTGATTCTTATGAATATTTCACATAGGGTGACAGCGTAGGTGTCGCTTGTGAGAAAAAAGAAAAGAACCCCTTCCAGAAGTATCGCAATTTGGCAAAAAGGAGGGCGACCGTGCAGCGCAAAAGTCGCTTAGGGGCTTAAATTCTTGGTACCTTTTTACCTCTCTTATGGAGCACTTTAGTGGTGCGTCCAATAATTTTGTTCTCTTGGGGGCGAAACAGATCCAGGCTACCAGTAAGACAGAAATGAATTTTAAGCTATTGCGGCAGTAAATATTCAGTGATTAAAGAAAGGCAGCTATTTTATTACTTAACTAACTCTGTGTTCCCTTGGAAGGAATCCCTTAAGTAAGTGAACAGATCAAGTTGCAATTGTAAGCTTGTTTTAAAAAGAACAATATGTGTTCTTTTACTCTTAACAGGTTGTTTACAGTGCGCGCAGGTGGGATTAGAGAAACTGAAAAACTGTTAAGTGATTTTACTCAGATTCATATGGTTTGGTGAGCAAAAGAACACTGCACAGTTAACTGCTAGATTGACCACAACCACAATTATCAAGCACGCTTCACCAAGCGACTATCGTCACTGAGGTGGGGGTCGAATAAATGATAATTTATTAACCCATTTCGCCCTCTTGCCAAAAGTTGAATAATCCCAGAGCCTTTACTGATTTAAAATTGGCCATGCGCATAACCATAAAGTTGATCCAAACAGAAACTGAACAAAAACAACAACTTCGTTCTTTAACATAAGCAAAAAAAAATAATTTAGTCAGCCTTCCTATAAATGAAAGCTGTTTTTGTCGCTATGTATGCTTTCTTTCTCAGGGGGGGAGTTGAAATATATATACTTGACTGCAAAGCAATAGACTGAAATAGAGCATTAGACGACTTACTTCCTTCCACTTTCTGCAAAAAACTAGGGCAATCATTTCAGAGAGAGAAAGTGAATGGCACAGAGGTTGAAGTGCTTTATAACATGGGTGATTTTATTGCGCCATCTGTTGGCAAAATTAGTGGAAAATTCTTGAGCAGCATGTTTACAATTAGTATGTGACAAAAGTAAATTCACAAACTGTCAAAAAATAGCCTGAGATGTTGAATCACGCTGAAATCTTGGACTGTTTGCATGGGCGGTTTTGAGCTGCAACCAGATTGAAGCTCTTGTTGCGCAAAAAAGAATTGCTCGATCAAAATCAATCACCCGTATAAACTATGTTTAATTGAGCACTTCTGGTAATGAGGAGGTGGACGATGGTAAAATGCGCCAGACTAGCTAACGTCGTTTCTCGCGCAGTCTGATTGGCTGCAATGACTCAAGCAACGGATGTTTGATGCTATTGAAAACTCAATCATTGGATATTGAAACTCTAGAGCTCTGATTGGCGTAGCCATCATGGTATATGAGCCAATATACCATGCTCTCCAAATATGGTAACTGTATGCGTCTGCTCAAAATTAAAAACAAGCTGAGAATCGGTTGTTTTTACAAATAAAGTCGGAGAGAATTCTCGATATTCTGTGAGCGTTTTTAATAAAACAATTATTCTACACGCGCTTGTTGGATATGAGATGATTATAGCCAACTTGGCGCTACACGCCTCGTTGGCTATCTACGATCTCATATCCAACGCGCACTCGTGGAACAGATGTTAATTATGGCTTGTTTATATTACTTTATGACTTACATTCGGGAAACAAAGAGAGTTTGGTCTATAAATATATGCTGGTGAATAATCGGATCCTCTGTCCAGGCCAAATAATCCACTTTGGTTCGTCTACAAAAACAAAGTTCGAGGATAGTTCGTCGAGGAGATGGATGATTTGTCTGATTATAGCACGTTTATGTACACAGACATGTACTTAGCACACATTCTTCTCGTCACTTATTTTTCGTCTAAATGCATAAATAATATATTTGTTATACTAGCTTATTGTAGGTTTCACTAAATCGCGGGTACAAATAGAAAGTGGCAATTTATGCTCTTTTAGTATATCAAGGCTGAGCTCGTAATAAACTATGCTACGTGGTTCGCCTTCTAACAGCTTGTTTCTATACTTCGAAACAAGTTTAAAGCAACACTTTCAAAGGTTCTTCCTCCTGATATCATGATCAAAAGGATGAAAAGTAAGTTCGTTTCCCAATCTTCTACTAGCTCTATTTTGATCGAGAGGAATGCGTTCTTATCTAATCTCAGGAGTAGTGCGATAAGAAGATAGGTATGAAGGTCCAGGTGAGTGTAGTGTTGTTAACAGTTTAAATTCGCAGGGAGACTACAAGGACGTATTCTCGCTTAATCTCAAAAAATTGACACCTCGCAAAACTGTACTTTTACTTACAAGAAAACTTAGCACGGTTATTCAGGTTAAGCCGCTCTCCCGATCGCAAAATGATAAAATTTTGGTAAACTGTTTGCGACGGATATCACCTTTTTCCCGCCAAAACCAAGCGGGTGCGCACGCCTGCGCACTAGTTAGTATTGAGAAAATCTTGTCCTAGTAGTCGTCTTCGTTTTAAAGTCTTATACTGATATATAGGGTCAGTTATTTAAACGAAGTCTAACTTAGGCTGCGGTTTAAGAAATCATTGGACTCCCACCCCGATCTTTTTCTTAAGGGGTTAATTTAAGACAATAAGTGCTTTTCTGCGTTTTACGAAATCATTGCACCCCCGCCCCCATCTTTTTCTTAAGGGCTTAATTTAAGACAAAAAGTGCTTTTCTAGTCTACACAATAAGCTTTATTCAAATTGTTCACGAAAAAAATAGTGTTTAGAAGCGTTGGGCAAACTGAAAACGGCTTAGAACGCAGTTTTGTTAAACAAAGACTAAACTTCATTTAAATAACTAGCCTTTAAAGGTCTCATATATTGACTGACGTTTCGAGAACCTTTACGATAATCATCGTCAGAAACAATAAGGGTTTCACATCGTCAGTTCAAAGAATTAAAGTATCGACCCTGGTCACGAACGAAAGAGAACATAGTTGTCTTCGCCGAGAACTGTCTTTTAAGTAATGAGATTCATCATACACATAGATGAAACAAGCAGTCGGAAAATACATGCGCGAGACTATTTCACCTTTTCGGTTGCATTCGCAGGTGGAAAATTGTATACACGATCAGATGATAAACAGTGCTGCCTTCAGTGTAGCACTATTAAATTAACGATTCACAGAGATTCAGGCAACTGTTTTGCTAGTTAAAGAGTCTTAAGTGATGAAAAACTCGCAATTCGGGAGGCTAAGACGAAAGCAGCTGAACGATGCGTTTGGAAGTTAATAATAATAATAATAATAATACTTTATCATTCTCTCCCCTCGTAGGGTTTGTCAGGGATAATGAAACATATACTTTAAATGAAACATAACATGGATAAGAATCGCAACTGGTAGGAGGCGAACCAGTTGGCTATTTTGCAACTTTGAAATGATCATTATAAACTGACAGCTAAATATGATAAAAATGAGTTCGATTAATACGGAGTTTACGCAACGACGACGGCGACAGCTACGAAAACGTTACTTAAAAAGTGAATTTGCACTGCCTCAAAATTTACCGCGCTTATTTCATCTCGTTTAATTAGTCAAATGTTGGCAAATTTTTTTGGAGTTGACTGATTCTCAAGGACTGCGTCAAAGTTCAGAAAATGAAAAAAAAGTTGTTGCCGTTAGTTCCCGTCCTCGACAAAATGTGAAATTAGGCAGTTTCACGTTGTAGTCGTGCAACATCGGCCGAGAAATGTACAAAAAAGCGTGATGCACGTGCAAAGTAGTTGTTTTGCTTGTCAAAACCTATTGCTTTTTTGTCGCTCTTGTTGCCGTCGCCGTCGTCGTTGCGTAAACTCCCTATAATGACTAGAGTGTAGGCTGTGGTTTAGAATTGATGCTCCTCTTCCACTCCAGTGTCGTGGCAACATCTCTTGCTATCACGGCCGAGTTTCGATAAGCCAAGTTCGCTTCTCAAAATGGTAGGCACGGTTTGCTGGCGCGAAGATGAATAACTCGAATTTTTTCGAATAAAATTCGACATTCTCCCGAAGCAGCAGCATTTGACAAGCACTTTCTTGAATCCCTGGCGGTAATTTTCACTGAAAATAGCATAAACTGCCGGATTCAGCGCGCAACTGGAACGCATAAGAAACTCGCAAGAGAAGTAAACTTGTTCAGGGATGTGTATGACGCTTTTGTCGAAGTAATAGATGAAATTGGCGATTTGTAATGGCAGCCACGATACAATGAATATAACGACCACTGTTATAAGCATTTTCACTACTTTCTTCCGCGAATTCCGGCGCCTGATCAAACTCTTTGATTCTTCTCTTTCTGTTTCCCCAGGCGGCTTGGTTAAAAAAAGATGACGACAGATGATCGTATACAGCACTGTTATAATGCATAGCGGAAGGCAAAGCATTACCGAAAATAACACTAGCATGTATATCATGGGCGCTGTCTCATTATCAAATGCTGGTGCCCAATTTTCGTCGCAGCTCAAGCCTTCGTTGCTCTCAATCACTCTCAATGAGTACAATGTTGGCGTTGCCACGGCAAGGGACGTTATCCATATAACAAGTAAGATCCAATAGAAAACCCGTTTGTTAATGATGCGCTTCAGTGGCATCAAAATGGCGAAAAAGCGATCGAATGCGATGGCCGCCAGGGTTAGAACCGAAACAGGGACAAGCATGTACTGAGCGAAGTTCACAACCTTACAGAAATAGATTCCCCGCCCTCGGGTTGCAAGTGCCCAAGCGTAGCAGTTAAAAATTGAGACGAACAAAGGAGGCATGGCCACAATAGTGTAGAGCATATCTGCGCATGCCATGTTCACGATCAAGTAATTGGTGACAGTGCGCATACGACAACTTTGAAGCACAACGCAGATCACGAGTGTGTTTCCAAATAAGGAAGCTATCATTACCAATGAGCTGGCGATCGCCTGGAAGATTGGAACAAAGACCGCTGAAGTCTGCATCTCATTCGTGTTGTTAACAAAGCTCTGAGAAACGAGGCTTGAGTTGGAACCGTTCATTGCAAGCCTATGACAATAACAGAGAAAGTTAGAATACTTTCTAGGTATCATATATAATCAATTAATGTAAATATACCACTATAGCAATTGTTCAGGTTTTTCTATCCTATGAACTGAAGAACCGGCAGTGTATTACGTAATTTATAAAATGAAGAAAATTAAGCCTGGGAAAATCAGTAAAGCATAAAAATCCCGCACCGGGTACTCCCTATAATGGCCTATATGGGGAGGCTCCGTCCGAAGGGGGTACCTTTTTATGCTCCAGGGGTGGGAAATCTGTCATTTCGGTTTAAATGCCCATCAGGGCTAAGAGATGCGTTTTATAGCTGTAAAAAAGTCGAGAAAACTTTCTGGTTTTGTGATTTATTCGCATTTCAAAGACACTGCATTTACAGCAGTTAAAAAAGATGAAAATTTCTAAACTAGGTACATGAAAGATCTACCATTTGTCCGATAAAAGGTATACAAAAGGGATACCATTTTGGTCAAAAATGATATATAAAAGGGTAAGGGGTTGGATCTCGGGGCGGAACTTCCCCGTATAAAACTTTGTGGAGTACCCCCGGGATAAAAATTTGCATGGTTTTAGTAACTGAGTTGAGAAAACTTTCAGTACGGCCATGAAAAGATTACAGTGAATGCTGGCCTTTCGTCGACAGAGAGAATCGTCGGCCAGCGCTCGAAACTTCAAAAACAGTTTCCTTGGAAATCAACCTGTACGTTCCTTAAGAAATTAAAGGCTTTGCACGCAATAAATTTGCCTTATCCAATATCATCTTCAAGAACGACTACGAGTGCGAGATTTTCTCAATATCAAGTAGTGCTCACGCGTGAACCAGCGTCATTTTGGCGGGAAAACGTGGTAGCCGTCGACATTCTGCTACCCACGAGTCTTGTCGAGAATGTCGCTGTGGGGGAAACAAGTTATCAACTGTTAGAAGTTTTTTTTATTTTGCGATCGGTAGAGGGCTTAACCTTCTTCAATAAAGCTAACAGTGCCAATTTTTCTGGTGACTCAAAGTACAATGAAGCTGTTCGGTGTTGCTATTTTTTGAGAAGAGAAAAAATTGTAAGTTAGATTTCGTACTTGTAGTCGTTCTCGTCCTCGCATCTATAGCTCTCTATCACACGAGAACCATTCGCACATGAGGCTATCACAGATTAACTATAACCGATAGAATTTCAATTTAGAGTTCTATCAAAACCCACCGACAGATATTAGTGAAAAAGGGGATTACATTAATCACATTTAGAGTGCAAACCATTACTATTTTCAAAGTCAGTTGGTAGACTAGTAGATAGGAGAAAGATGATTAGTTAAAGTATTTTGGAAAAATACGAAGCCTCAATTCCAAATGTTTTTATTCAATTTTTCCAAAACGAATGGTGCGAAGACCGAAAAAGTTACCTCATGGTTAACAAAAACTCACGGTCAACTGGGTTATTTTTTGGCTGTGGCTATGATAATAAGAAACTGAGAACACTTATCTAGAAAAGCGTAGCTCGTTTGAAGAAGAACCGACGGCTGATAATCACGATATACTTTCTGTGGGAATTCTTTTGTAGAAAACAGACTTCACTTGGTAATAAAAATTTTCAGTGAAGGTAGTAAAACGTTACAGGTGTCATTTACTTTTTAATAGCTAACGAGTTGTCTTAGAATGTTCAGTAGAGGGTTTTGAGATTTCACCCAGTTTTCAAGATAATTTTTGTCGTGCCAAAGTACTTTTAATAAAGACTAGTCTCCGGGTAGTCTTTATGCCTTGAAGTTGATGTCAGTGTCTTTACTTTGTCTAAACATCAAGAAAAACATGACAGAGTTGCAATTGATAAGTATTGTTGTGGAATAATGAGATTTCCTGCTTCCTTTGTTAGTATCAAGAATTCGAGTTTACTTACGATGAGACGGTATTTCGACACAGTTAAACATGCAAAAAGAAAAGTGTCTACTTTGTATTAAGGCACATTGTTTAGCACTCACATTGTCAAAGTCTATACTGACGAGTTTCATTTTGCTAAGGCCTGTAGGAAGCACTAGATTGCCCATGTCAATGTGATCTAGGTCTACAACTCTAAGTGATGTCTTTGAGGAGCATTTTACGACAGTTACTTTGTGCTGTTTCAAGTCCTATTTGAACATTTCCGGTTTAGAGAGTCTTTCGAACATTAGTAACAGCAAAGTAGAAATTAAAAAAACCTTTTTATGATCAAAATAATCTCCTGCTCAAAAACTTGCTTGGATGTTTAGGTGAGGTTTATGTGAACAAAACTTAAAATACACTTTTCAAGGGTGTATAAAACTGTATTTTCAACTGAATATCACCTGTATGCATGCATGAACATACTATTTTAAAAAACTGAACTTTGTAACATACTCCAAAATTGAGGGAGCTCAATCGTGTCTTGTGGTGGCAATCAATACATATTTTAATTTTAGAAGTAATAGAAGTAAGAGTTTTTTGTGCGGAGACCTTTATCTATATTTCTCCCTGATCGAAGGACGGTTATAGCTTAAGATCGAGGTATTGCATGCGTCGTCTTACACGGAACATTGTTATCTTTTTAAGGGAAAAATGCAGGAAAAAAGTCACAGGAAAACTTTCAAAAAATAAAAATACCCAGATCTCACCTGTTATGAACTGAAGGAAAGACTGCCCTCTAATAGGTCAAATGCAAAATGGGATATCGAAAATTTAGCGAGGATTTGTTTCGTGTTCCCAAGATGGATAAGTAAAGTTGACTTTGGACGTGTCTAAATCAATCCTTCCTTAAATGTAATGGAAGTAATTAGTTCTTGTTGGATTTGTCTTTTACATATTCAAAGAACCCGCCGGAAAAGTATTCACATGTTGTCTAATAGATTTTGTTGTCAAATTCATCTTTCACTAAAAGTAGGTTATTCAAAACGCAAAGTCATTTTATAATAAATTAACTTGTTAATGAGAAACGATGTGGATATCCATGTTTTTAAAAAACATCGGAAATATGACATGAATGATCATAAAACTACCATTTTGGCCATTTTAAATAAAAGTAGCTAAGTCAAATTGTCAAGTTGGTTTGTTAATTAATATGCCATCGTAAGTCCTGGATAATTTCTGGAAGAGTGTCCCTACCTATAAAATCGACGATCGAACATAAAATTGTCATTTTGGTCATTTTTTTTTGGTAAAGAGGCCACGTCAAATTATCAAACAACTTTGCCAATCAACAGTGACTCCTTGAATCCTAGCTGAATTAATCCAAGGAGCGTGCACTCCGCCTTTCAAATTGAAAACTTTGAAAAGGAACGCGTTGGCCAACAGTAAGTTTCTATGCATGATTTAAACTTTATAAAAATTCACTTATACTGTCTTAATAAAAATCAGCCTTGTGATCTTATTGTGGGTAAGCTACTGACAGTTCTCTAGCAAGCATGTACTTTCCCATTCTTTAAATATCGTAAAACCTCGAAAAAATGTTGGAAATAACAGCATCCTTTATAACAAACAAAAATAAGAAAACTACAGTAGAACCCCGCGTAACTCAAACTGTGGAGGGAAACGTATTACAGTTCGAGTTATCGGGGTCGATGGCTAAACTCAATTTGCTATGTTAAAAATAGATAGTTACTGATTTTCAGCACTTCAGTGTATGGCGGTGCAGTGAAAATTTAACTTAACGGTACTATGATTTGGCATTTTCTTAAGGGAAAACGTGATCTGTTCGTTTCACCAATTAAAATCAAATTGTTGAAGTGTTGACCAGTGTTAGTTATTATAGTGTTTTCACCCTTATACAACAAGAAGAGCTAATGGGGTGGCATCCAAGTGGAGTTACAAAAACCAGAATTCAAGTTATCGGGGTAAATTTCAGTGACTTTTTGATCAAGGGAAAGGATATTTAGTACGAGTTAGCTGGGTATTCGAGTTATCCGGGTTCGAGTTAACCGAGTGAAAATGACTGGAAAGTATAGTTCGAGTTACTGAGGGGATTTCGAGTCATCCGAGTTCGAGTCAGTGGGGGTTCTACTGTATTTTTCACATCACTACAACACGGAAGCTGAACAAATAAAAACACTAAAGTGAGAGATCATTCACACCTTGAACTCGGAAATTATATATTTGCAGTTTTAATTCTAACACAGCAAACGTCCGGACAGTCAGGAACTCTCACGCAGCTAGAATTAATAGGAAGATGCATTCACGAACTCATCGGAAATTATTTCTTTTGAAGCAATATGGTATGTGGCCCATATATTAAAAAATGTGTCCACTCTTCTGCACATCATATTGCACATCGGAAATTTGATGAATTTTTTGCCGGCATTACGTTAATCAAGTAGAATTACGAAATCGGCTAGCCTTCCAGGAAGTTTTGTTTTTCGTCCGAGAAAGTGTATTACCCGAGGAATTTCAAACATATTTCACCATCATTAGAATTAGTTGGTTTTAAGAAAGAAATACTATAGTTTAATAATTGAGAAGTGAGTTACAATGTGGCTTAGAATTTAGTAGTAATGTGAAGATAAAATAAAGTTCAAAATTTCCTTGTATTTGTAGGAAAATGTGGCTAGGAACGACATAGGCATCGTAATGGTTAAGATTAACAGCGAATCTATGATATAAGGACAACCTAAATGTTCGGGTTTTTTTTTATCATAGATCAATACTTTTAATCCGATAAACGTGGGTACCAGTATTTAAGAACACCAACTGAACCAAATGAAGCTTCCCGAGTCAATATTGGTATGGAACTTCATCACAGGACTGAGAAAATTAACAAAATAACTGGGTGAGGAAGTTCTTTTAACGCTAAAGATATGATAAAAAAATATATCATAAGCGCCCCTTTGTAACCAATAATATTATTCACTCAAGGTTCTAAAGGACGTTCTTGGCTATAAGGAAAGAATCAATTTTGCGAGCAAAACAAAATACATAATAAACTGAAAGAAACAAATT